TTTTTTTCAGGTTAAAGGCACCAGTGCTTTATCTCCACTGTGCTAAACCACCCAGCTACCTGCTCTTAGTTATGGCTGTGCTGTTAGAGCCCACCTTCTTGTGTCTGGGAGTAAGCTCCACCCTGAGCTGACCACCCTTGCATCCGGCCATTGCTCTGTTAGCTGCCAACTCCCCGACAACTCAGCCACTACCCTGGACTTCCACATAGACTGGGCCTCTAGTCCCACAGTCTCTCCTAATCATAGGTGGCCTTTTAATTTCAGAGTAATATGGCTCAGAACAATACACACTTAAGACCACTTCCACTCCCGCTCGTTTCCCTGTCTTTACACAAGCATACTTCGTCTCTCTACAACTCCGGCCCAATCAGAGAAGACCATATTTATCTCTACCCTATATCAAAGCAAGTTCTCCATTGAAGAATATTCGAACCCTAATCCACGAAGTTTTAATTTTCATAAATGCTGTTTTTAAACAAAAGGGGCTAAGTTAACATACATGGAAAACACTATGTTTCTGAACACCTGTTTCTGAAAGTTAATATTGGTACAACTTCCCTATGAATTAAATCTCACTATCTTCATTTTGTAGGGTAGAACACTGTGGCTCACAGAAGTTAAGGAATTTGCCTAGGTTCACAGAGCCAGTAAGTGTCCAAACCAGAATTCAAACCCAGATTCTATTTGATTCCAAAACTTGGGCTCTTTTGGCCACACCTTCAAACACTTCGGGTAAGTCTCGTAGCACCTCTGAGCTTTAGATTCCTCACATCCTCATTGAAGGGAGATTGGGTTAAGTTATCTCGGGGTACCTTCCATGTTAATTTTAGGAAAAGAGCAGAAGAGAAGAGGAAGAGAAGAGAAGAGAAGAGAAGAGAAGAGAAGAGAAGAGAAGAGAAGAGAAGAGAAGAGAAGAGAAGAGAAGCAGTGAGAGAGTGGAGAGGTGCAGTGGGAAGGGAATAGAGGTTTTGTGAACTTCCCACCTTACTATTTCTTTTTCTTTTGAGACAGAGTCTCACTCTGTTGCCCAGGTTAGAGTGAGTGCCGTGGCGTCAGCCTAGCTCACAGCAACCTCAAACTCCTGGGCTCAAGCGATCCTCCTGCCTCATCCTCCCAAGTAGCTGGGACTACAGGCACGTGCCACCATGCCTGGCTAACTTTTTGTATATATATTTTTAGTTGGTCAATTAATTTCTTTCTACTTTTAGTAGAGACAGGCTCTCGCTCTTGCTCAGGCTGGTCTCGAACTCCTGACCCCAAGCAATCCTCCTGCCTCGGCCTCCCAGAGTGCTAGCATTACAGGCGTGAGCCACCGCGCCCGGCCTCCCACCTCACTATTTCTGATTCTATTAACGTATATTTACCTCGATTGTCAACTGTGACCAGTTACATCCCCCTTTGAAAGTTTACCTTCATCATGTTCTACAGATAAATATGAATTTTTCTTGGCATTTAAGAGAAATGTAAGCCACTGTGGTGTGAACAAGCCTATTTTAAGGGAAGTATAATTCATGCAGCCTCTAATTCTTATTTCTCAATTACAAAATGACACAACCTCATTATTCTTTAAACTGAGTTTCAACAGACTACGAATTTGAACCTGCTAGACACAGGAGGCAGAAATATATCACCAACACCAAAACAAACAGAAAGTCTTCCGGAAAGGCTCCCATAGCCTAGTGTTTGTGCTGCTACCTCTCAGCCACGCGGATTAGCAGGCCTCGGGAGGGATTATAAGGGATGGTGATTTTCTGGGTAAAGGGCTCAGAAATCAGATCAAAGTCAGAATAACAAACAAGTTTTTCAAAGGCGGCTGCCCAAACCCAACAGTAATTTTTCACCTGTTTACAAAGTGTGGAAAAGAAATGTGGGCCTCCCGTGGGTCTCCCCACCTGGTCACACAACACGTATCACATTGTCATTATCACCGTCCTTAGTATAATTTCTAAAGATTGAAAAGGCTGGAAATGAAACTGACCCTGCAGCAGAAATAACCACCAACAGGATTCACTTTAAATGCAAAGAAGCAACAAAATTTATTGGCTGAATTAAACACAACAGTTAAAATGGCAGTGTTGTATTTTCATTTTAAAATGCCTGAATGAAACAAGAAAAGTGCTATTAGTCCAAGCTTCTTACATTCATTAAAAGAGTGACTATCAAAAACAGCAACATGCACAATGGTACATATTCACAAGATGGAAGTATATCAACAAATATACAAAATACCCAAAATAAAATATTTACAGGTTTAAAAAATATAAACATCGATTCATCTATCCCATTAAACCATTGGAGTGGAGAAAGAAGAGACCCTATTGCTATTTAGAATCCATTTTTAAAACATAGTTTTAGGAGACCATTTTTGATGTTTTTCAGGGGTTTAACATTCTATTATAAAAATAATATCTATAAACCTGCTAACAATTTTCCTCCTGTGCACAAAAATAATACAGCCAAAAGCTTGTCCTCAAAGACATGCCAGACTTTCAGGAAAACTAGTTATAGAAATGGAGTTTCTCATTTGGGTTTTCTTGGCTATTGTTTTCAAATAACCTGCAATTGCTATATTACACTGAAATACTTCATAGAAATAACTTGGGCAAAACCTGAAGTTCACGATGAGCCTACTAGGTAGCTGGTGTCAAGTAAAAAAATGACAGGAATTTACTTTGCCTATAGCATCAAAACCACTTTCCCTGATTTTCTTGATAAATCTACCACTATCAGATCCTGCATGTTCAGTTCAGTTTATCCTGGAAGCAATGAAAATGTTAAATATGACTTTGTTAGCATTTCTCCTCCTTTATTTAGAAATAAATGTGTGGTAGGAGATCAATGACTGTAATGTAGATATTTGAGGAGGTTCATTAATTCCTGCAGGCCACCTGGGGCCATTTCCTGACACATTAATAAGTATTTTCTGCATGTCTATCCCATCCCCCTCTGCAACTAGACCAGACATTTTTAGTATTTCTGCTTTAGTTGATTCAATGATCCAGGTGTAAGAGTGTCTGATAAAGTTTAATACATCTCAAATAACCAGGAACCTAGGCTATATTTTATTTAAAATATATCTCTTCACACAGAGCATAAAGTTACTAATCTACCCAATTATTGAATAATTTCCAAAAATTATCCCAGTTTACCAATACCTACCTTATAGGGTTCTTGTGAACAGTAAAGATAACAATGTAAAATAAAGCACAGAGCATCATGTCTGGCACCATAGTAAACATACAGGATATGTTAGTTATTAGAATTAAATATAAAATACTCATATTCATGGTGACTGGCTTATTGAAGGTGTTCAATAACTACTGAACGAATTAATTAATCAGAAAATAGAGGCTAGGATCCAATGGCTGTAGACAGAACATAGGATGGGCTACTTTTGAAAGAGTGAAGTGCTTATTTCTGTATTAAGGCAAAGGATAACTCACATAGCTACCATTTAAATAAACAACACAGATGACAAGGGTGGGTGAAGATGTGAAGAAACTGGAACCCTTCTGTGTGGTTGGTAAGAATGTAAAATTGTGCAACCACTTGGAAAACAGTATGAAGGTTTCTCAAAAAATTAAAAATAGAATTATCATATAACCCGGCAAATTCCACTTCTGGATATTTATTCGAAAGAATTGAAATCAGGATCTTGAAGTGCTATTTTCACTCCTGTGTTCACTGTAGCGTTATTCACGATAGCCAAGATATGGAAAAAACCTACATGTCTGTCAACAGGTGAATGGATAAAAAAAACGTGGCACATATATACAATGTGGTGTGTGTGTATATATATATATATACACACACACACACACAATGTGGCATATATATATACAGCTTTAAAAAAAGAAGAAAATCCTACAATCCTACAAAAGAAGAAAATCCTATGCAACAACATGGATGAAGCTGGAGGACATTATGCTCAGTTAAATCAGCCAGTCACAGAAGGACAGATACTGCGTGATACTCCAGTTACGTGAGGCATCTAAAATAGTCAAACTCGTGGAAGCAGAGAGTAGAATGGTGGTTGCCAGGGGCCTGGGGTGGAGGAAATGGGGAGTTGCTTGTCACCAGGCATAAAGTTTCAGTTCTGCACGATGAACAAGCCAGAGAGAGCTGCTGTGCAGCATCGTGCCTATATTAACACCACTGTATTGCACACTTAAAACCTTGTTAGGAGGGTAGACCTTTAAATTCGTTAAGAACATATGAAATGTCCTCACTGCAATTTAAAGAGCACACACAGAACACCCGGAACACGCCTAGGCTGGGCTTAAGGTAGGAAAACAACAAATGAAACGAACGTGCTGGGAATGACTGCAACCCTATCAGGGAAGAAGTATTACCATGACAACCGAAGAGATTTCTGTACTTTCCCTGTTCATCCTGGGAAGGAGAGGATACTGCAGAGGGAAGGCCAACTGTTTGCCTGCTGACTGTAGAACAGTGGCAGGTTTCCCTGTGTGTGACTGTGAGCACCATCGTCTCAGACACAAGATGATTCCCAGCTGCATGGACATGGGTTGGCTCTTTCTATTGAAAGTGAGCCAGTAATGACATTAAGCAGTTCTTAGCTCTTGTATTACTGAAAGTCACTAAAGAGTTTATATCCCTGTCCCAGAGACTGGGGGGAGGGGAGAAAGACAGCCGGAAAGGGATAAAAACAAACAAAAAGGGTGAATGAAAGATGTTGCACTAGGGAGACAATATTACCTACCCCATATGGCTGTTAAGAGGACTGAGTAATTATTTGTAAAGCTCCTAGCAGCACCTGGCACATAGTAAGTATTCAACAAATGTTAACTATGGTTATAGTTACTATTTTTTTAGAGGCATTTATGTGGTTTAATTCTTACCATCCTTCAAACTTACATCACTCTGCTCCACCCCACGAACTATGAGCAACAAATACAAATACAAAAAAAAAAAGGTAAAATAAAATAAAGGTGTTTTTTAATGAATATTAAGAAAATCCAATTACAGCACGGCTATAGGTGAGCTCCAAACTGAATGTTTTTTTATTTAGTATCAGATACAGCATATGCCCCATAAATATGTGTTGCGTTGGATTAAAGTAAATGCCAGTCATAAAAGGTGCCCAATTTCAGTTCTAGAGGCTTCGTGACTGTTTTAATCTTTCCGTTTGCAGTTTGAGAAGGAACTCCTTTCCATAATCATGAAAGTATCTTTCTGAATCACCTCTTAGAATACGTTATCTGCAGTGAGATATTAACATTCCTTATAAGTGGCTACTGTTGCAAGAAACTGTCTCCTTTAAACCGCTATCACAGTGAAAGGCTCTCTGAGAAGGAATCCACACAGCCATCAGGAAGTCTCCGGAGCAAGACGCGGTGGCTCTGCACTCACACGCCACCCGGACGGTGCTATAGCTTGCTGCCTTTCCCGGAGCACACGCTTGTTTTCTGCTTCCTCGCTCAGGCTGTGTGAGAGACTGGTCTGCCATACTAACCCTTTGGCTCCAAACTCTTTCACAAATAGTTTCGTGGAATAAGTCGGAAATTTCTAAGGCTGAGGTTACACAACTTAAGAACTGTGTTGTTTATTTCTGGATCTGCCTAGAGAGGGGGCGAGGGGAACTGGGTTAGCTGATGAGGTATTTGGCTGACTCCTGTTATTTCACCCAGATACGTTTAGCTGGCTATCTCCTCAGTGGCAAGAAGAGGCAATGGTGACGTTTAATAGCATGAAGTACTTGAATTAATTTCACAACAGTAAGGGGAGCAGAGCATATGTGCGTGCACTGGAACATCTCTCAGTGGAAGCCAAGCACGGAGTAGCCAAGTCCACATATTTGTAATTCAGGAGAGAAATTCAGAATCACTGAAAGCAGAGAATGGCTTCCACCATGCAGATGGTGCAAACATGCTAACACCATGTGAGGGGTCCCCTCACTGCTGTCTGAGGGCACTTGGCAAACATGATGAGCTACAGGAATCAACCTCCTCACACAAGCTAACAGGAAAGACTCTCCTTTGAAAATTCATCTGACAGAGAGGACTCTTAGATCAAAGAAATCTTGACACCTGATATCATCTTTTTACTTTGATAATTGTGTAAGCAAAGGGCTATTTGCATATTCGTTTAAATGCAAATACTTGAGTACTACTTCTGAGATTAATAAATAAACCCTTTAAACTTAGTAAGTCATAACCTTAAGGTTATCATAGATGTTAAAGAATTTATTTAAATAGGCAGATAGTTTGTGGAAAATGTATTTAAAGGAAGTCCTTGGTGTTCTATATTCCATTGTTGTTATTAGGTAAAATAATGAAAATCTATGTCCTCTTATGATTATTTAAGATGCTGTAGTAAAATTTCTCCCAATTGGTGCTAATGGGAGAATAAAGGCATCAACCACCATGAGTACTAAAGCAGAGGGTTTCAAGTAATATTGTATGAGTAATATAGATATTAAAGTCAGGCTGTCTTTGTGCTATCAAACTGACCGATAAATTCTGGTCCAACAATTGATTTGGCTTTTTCCTCTCTAATTTGGGCAGCTCTTTGACCAAAGAAACCCAATCAGCTAAGAATCTTAGAATCATACATACACAGGAAAGATGTCATTAGCCTGCATCTAATCCTTCCCCTAAAAAGTCAGCAAATATGGGCCTGTATAATCCCCACAAGATCATTAGATAATGGATTACTAAAAATTAGAATGTAAATTTAGCAAAATTCTAAAAAATAATCTCCATGAACACAAATGAGAGAACGTAGCCCTTGGCACAAGAAAGCAACTAAGATCCCTTTTTCACAGTTAGAAAAGGTTGACAATCCACTCTTCCTGCCAGTGATTTCCCACCAAGAGATTGAGGTCATTTATTTCATTGTTCAAATCCTTTCTTTGACCGGTATGAGCACAATTTATAAAGATATAGGGTTTAAAAAAATGGAAAAGATGGAAAAAAGAATTTTAAAAAATATTTTTAATTTCTTCATAACTTGTTAATTGACAGGCAGGTCAGGGGAAATTAAGGTAAACTTTGCTAACACTTTCCTTTACTTACAAAGAAAAGACAGCATAATGGTGTAAGTGCAGAAATAAGTCCTAAAATTGTGAAAGCAAAGACAGTTTCTTCTAGGGCTTAAGAAATAGATTGCTCTTCCTTTTACCAGCCATTCTCATCAGTTCTTCAGGTACTCTTAACTTTCCTGTGCAACTGAACAAACGAACAAGCATAACTTTGCAGTGGACTCGTGCAAAGGAGAACATAACCCTTGCAGGAAAATGCACAAGAAGGAAATAAACATCCTTTGTTTTACAGCTAGGAATAAAATTTATTCTCTCTCCATTCACTGGGGGAAAATGAATGTATTTTGTGTCTAAATAGTAATATCAGCATGAAATCAAATTTAAATCCTTTTCTCAAGACAGAAATAATCTCTAAAATATTTCCAAATCTACAGGAGCTGTCTTTGTCTATTAGTTTGCACACAGTTGAGTGCACGAGCGTGTTGTGAGTGTGAGGTGCTTGTATGAATTCCTGGTGGTGTGTTCAGAATGCTTAAGGCTATGTCTGCATATAGTGCCTCATCTGCACACACAAGGAAATCAAGTATCAAAACATTACTTTGAAATAACATTAAGGATCTGAGACAATGCAATAAAAGCCAGTCCTCTGACTAATAAATAAATTCAGCAAACCTCTACCACCTCTGCTAATTGAATCACTGCAAATTTAAAATGGGGAATGGCCTGTTTTCTGCTACTGGCTCAAATGTGTTTCCCTTTGATGCCCATTTATTTTGTTACTTTCTTCATTTTATTAAAATAGGTTTTCATATATTTAACTAGCCTTCTTCTTTCCTTTACAAAACAGAAAACAAACTTAAAAAGCACATCATAACAGTTCATTACTTAGGCAGTCTCTCTGGAAGATGAGAGTTATACAGAAGTGTTCATGTCATTTACATATGTGTAGCAGTTTCACTTGAATACAAATAATCTTCCTGATACGATGAATCAGCTCCTAGTAGAAGCTCTGGTCTTTTGATTAAATACACCGAAGTGCATTTCAAAAAGGATATTAATTTAATCATTAGACACTAATAGCATTCTAGGAACTGCTTCAGTTTCTCATTCAAACTATCTAGGCATAGAATAACCATTTCTGAAATAAATGCTTCATCTGAAATATTAGAAAACATACACATAAGCAAGCCACTTTTCAAAAAAAAAATCTTGGCATATAGTGTTTACAATACATAAGCTTGCCAATGTCATCCTCTGAACATACTTGTCTCAGTCATAAGTCTATAAAGCAAAAGTCAAATGATATGAAAAACTATATCTTTCTATTGTTTTTCTTTATGTGTTTCTCATTTTGGACTCAGCATATTGAAGAATGGTCGGATCCAAAATTTTATAACCAAGGTAAAAATCTCTGAAAACTAGGTTTTGGAGGAAAAAACACAGAGCCATTCCTCTGAGACATCAAAACAATAGCTTTTTTGTTTGTTTGTTTGTTTGTTTGTTTGTTTTTGAGAACTGGACACCCCATATAAAACAAAACCAGAATTGCTTCCCATTACAGTACATAAAAGAACACCAATGGTTTGGGGACAGTCATCATATCTAGCTATAAGACCAGATTTTATATTCTAGATTATTGACAGATTATAAAATGTTCACAGCTGGATAAACTGTAAAATATGCATTATCTTCATATTAGAAGGTTTCAGTTTATAAAAGACTATCTATTGGCATTTACTGGAATCTTTCCCTGGTCCTGATTTCTGCACTGGGTGGAGGTTTAAAGAAATGCCAAAACCTGCTTTGCTGAGCCTTTTATTTCTCCCCAAACAAATCATCTGAACCAACCAAAAAGTCTCCTTTATTTTCCTAATGGTAGATACCTATTTGCATACCTAGCAACTGAACACAGAGAAGCTTTCTGCCAATCTAGGATCCTCTCTGCTCATCAGGTAAATACCTGGTGCTTTCAGCTTGGTAGGTGTTTTCCACACAGTGATACAGCAAAGGGTCTTTTTTTTTTTTTTTCCTGGAAAAGAAAAGGAAAGGAAAGAAGGAAGGAAATGTGTCCTGGGAGAGGGAAGCTGCTCTGGTTCTGCAGTGGTTCCTAGAGGCCTTCTGGACAATGGCACAGCCGGATAATCCTGCCATGACTCTAACTTGGGTTTGGTGAAGTCCTGTTTTCTGCAAAGGCAAGTAAAGGTGACTTCCAAGTGTTCAGTGCATTAAAGGAAAAATTGAAGAAAAAAAAAAAGACTTTTAAAAAGGTAGAAAAGAAAAAAGTGCTTGAAAATAATTCTCAGGGCCTTATCTTGAGAGGAGAATCCCAAGTGTAGCCTCGCTCTCTCTGGTGTCCCCTGCCCCTGCTCACAGCACAAAGGCCTCCCCGTCGAGGCTCTGCAGCAAGGGAGGGCCTAAAAGACTTTCTTTAGGGGAAGCAAAACTTAATTTTACTGGTTTCCAGGGAAAAGTTGTATTCCTCGACATGTGGCTCGTGCACCTCGGCCTGGGAGACCTCACAACTTTTTGGCACTGTCGTGGCACGCCGCTGCCCTGATGGTGGTCCCAGCCAAGCCCCGGCTGCTCACTCTTCGGACCAGCACTTTGGAAACCGGGATTTTTGTTCTGGGCATCTCGCTCCTGGCTGGTTGCTGGTGCACCACAGGATGGCTGGATGGAAGGTTCGCGAGATGCTTGATGCTGATAGGTATTTTAGAGTCCTTCAGCAAACTGCCTGGGGTTCGCAGTGGGCAGGTGATGGTGCCCGGAGACACGGGCTTTAACCGGGACAAGCAGGGCGTCTCCTCGCTGGCAGGAAGGGCTGCTGGGCTTCCGTCCGGGTCGGCGTAGAGGTCGTAGAGTGCATCTCCGCTGTAGCTGTCCCGGGGGATGCTGGCCTTTTTGCCACCGCTGGTGCTGTCTTCCTCGGGGCCTGGAGTGGTGGAATCCCAGTATCCCTCGTCACTGTTGGGGACGCCTTCCTGCTGCTCCTTCTCCGCGTGCTTGGGCTCGTCCTTCGGAGGGGGCTCAATGGGAATCCGGTTGAGCCTCCTGCGCTTGACCGAGGACACGTCCTTGGCCACTTCCACGCACCTGGCGTCCTTGGAGGTCTCGGGCACCCCCTTGGTTTCCAGCGCGGGGGCCGCCTTGGCCGCTGCCTCCTGGGGCGCCTGTCCTTGATCCTCAGTCTGGGAGAGCATGTCCCAGAACTCCTGGAGATAGGTGTCGTCCACCCCGTCCGGGCTGGCCATCTCCTCGCCGCCTCCTTGGTAGGCCACCACGCTGGGGTTCTTTTTAGAGAGAACTGGCTTGCCTGGCCCGGGGGCATGCTTGTCGCAGCTGGGACCTGCCTCTTCCTCTTGGTCTGCAATAATATCTCCACAGCCTGTAAGAGAGTCAAAGCTTTTCAGTGAAGTCACGTCAGAAAACATCAAACAAATACGATCTGCCGATGGGTCTGAGGGCGGATCAACAGAGGAAGAAGGGTCGGGGAGGGCGGGCGCCCGGCCGCTGCCACGTTCGGAGTCGACAAGGGGGACAGTCTTTATCGGAACGTCACCTGTCCTGGAAGCATCCTCGGCCTCGCGGACCTCGCCGGCCTCCGGCTCCGGGGGTGCGCGGGGCTTCTCGGCGCGCAGATGCGCCGCGGCGGCGTCCTCCGCCCGCGCGCCTTTGTCGCCGGGGTCCCCGGGGCTCCCGGCCTCTCGGCAGCTCCGCGCTGGGGCGCGGCCGGCGGAGGCGGGCACCTCCTCTCCCCCTCCGAGCTCACCTGCTGGGCCTCGCGGGGCGTCCTCGCCGCCGGGGCGCTCCGGCTCGCGCGCGGCTCTGGGCGTTTCCTCCTTGACGCACTCCAGGCTGGCGGTGAGCGAGCCGGGCAGGATGAGGCTGCCCGGGCCGGCCGCGCGCGCCCGCTTCTCCTCGCCGCGGCCCCGCTTGTCCTTCTTGTGCCAGCGCATGCTGCTGAACAGCCCCTTCAGCCCCCTCTTTTGTTTGCCGCCCGCCTTGCCCGCGTCCGCGGGCTCTCCTCTGCCGGTCTCCGCCCGCCCGTTCTTCTTCAGCAGCGAGAAGAAGCTGTGCGACTTGGCCACGGAGCTGCCGGCCGGCGCGCCCACGCCGGGCCCCGCGGCGGCTCGGGGGGGCCCCGGGGCCGGCCGCCCCCCGCCGCCGCCGTCGCCCCCGCCGCGCGGCTCCTCCTTCCTGCCGCCCTCCAGCACCAGCACCTCGGCCAGGCCGTCGTGGGTCCTGCTCCTCACCATGCCCGTGGGACCCGGGCTCTTCCCGTCCCCTTTGTTTTTGACCCCGAAAATGCTGGGCATGGTGCCACCCGACCTCCTCTTCTTGAACAGTTTGAAGGCGGCCTTGTTGATCTTCCCCGACGGCTGCTCGGCGGCCGGCGAGTCGGCGGCGCAGTCCCAGTGCAAGTCCATGTCTGCCGCGCGGGCCCCGGCCCCGGCCTCCTCCCGCCGCCTGCAGAGCCCCGCGGGCGCGCGAGCTCCGCCGCGCTCGCTGACAGCCCCGCCGCCGCCGCGGCTCCGGCCCGTCGCCATGGAAACCGAGCGGGCTAAGCCGCTGTCGTCAGCAGTGGGCTCGCGCCAGGCCACTGTCATCCGCGTTCTAAATCAACCTGCGCCGCCGCTCGCGCCGCCGCCGCCGCCGCCGCTGCAGGAGGAGCGCACATAAAAGACCATCTCCCCTCCCGCGAGCGGCTTATATAATGCCCTAACCCACTTCCATCCGACCTGCCTCGGCGGCATCCTATGGTTTTTTTTTTTTTTTTTTTTTTGGTGGCGAGAGCAGGCAACACAGCCTGGAGCTGATTGCAGAAATTAGAGTCATAATTGTGGAATTCAAATGCCATCAAATCTCACCCACCTTCAGATGCCTCCTCTAGACGTGTTCTTTCCGGGAGCCCAATCATGGGCCATGATAATGCCTCCAAAAAGGATAAAGCCATTCGACCCGACACAGCATGTTTATTTCCCTTATCATCTGCCCTAGACTTCATCTTCATGCCTTTCCCAAGCCCCTCGTGTCTGTCCTGAACATTCGGGTGCTACCTACGCCCAGCGCGCATGAAGCTTGTCTGCCCACCTACGCGGTGTCCTGTCCAGCGCGGAGCACAACCGCTAGCGCAAGGCCGCCTCTTTGTTAGTGCGGTTATGATTTTGGTCACAAAAGTACCAGCCATCAGTCAGTGAGCAACTCTCAGCCATGAAAGCACAACAGTTCATGCGGGTGGAGGTTGACTGGTCCTTTGGGACAGCCATGGCTTCTATCCCAGACTCCAGCAAGCAGGAGTTGAAGTCACAGAAGGCACTGCCCAGCCCGCATTTGATCACAATAGGCCAGCTGACAGAGAACACAGCCTGGGAATCTCAGGTCCGCTCCACAGGTGCACCTTGGAGTCCCAGGCTCCACCCTCTCCTTTTCTACTCAGCAGGACACTGGTGTTACACCTGCCAACAGTAGCCCCAGTCCCTCCAGGGCTGACCTGTAGCTCCCTTCCCCTATATATAGGGTAGGAAAAACCCGGCAAGGGTCCCTAAGTGCCCAGGGGTCTCTGCAGCTTCTCCGACGCACCTGGTCTTGGTGAAAAGGAACAACTTGTCCCAAGGAACAGTTCAGACTGGGGATCTTTTCTGCACTCTGACTTTAAAAACTGACTGCTAATAATTTAACCTTGGCTTCTGATGTCATGATCCCTGTTGAGGGCTTATTAGTAAAAAAAAGAAGAAGAAGAAGAAGAAGAAATTTGGAGCATATGCATATATAATGTATATATGTTATATATTAATTTTATTTATTAAATACCATTTAATAATATATATAACATTTGCACATATGCACAAATATCAGTCTTTTCTTTACTCATTTTTTTATGTGCTACTTGTGTTATGCCAAGGAATCCCAATCCCCATGCATTTAAGCTGGAGTTTTATTAATAACATATGTTGGCCATTGCAGCTTCTGTACTCATGAAATACAGTTGGTTTATTTATTTATTCATTTATTTTTTTGAGACAGAGTCTTGCCTTGTTGCCCAGGCTAGAGTGAGTGCCATGGTGTCAGCCTAGCTTACAACAACCTCAAACTCCTGGACTCAAGCAATCCTTCTGCCTCAACCTCCCAAGTAGCTGGGACTACAGGCATGCGCCACCATGCCCGGCTAATTTTTTCTATATATATTAGTTGGCCAATTAATTTCTTTCTATTTTATAGTAGAGACGGGGTCTCGCTCTTGCTCAGGCTGGTTTTGAATTCCTGACCTAGAGCAATCTGCCCGCCTTGGCCTCCCAGAGTGCTAGGATTACAGGAGTGAGCCACCGAGCCCAACTGTAATACAGTTGGTTTAAATTTAGACGTTGGAGTTATTAGCTGTGTTGTTAATATTATTTTTTTTCATTTATTTTTTATCAAGAACACTGTTTTATAAAACTAAGAAATCGGTGAGTTCAGGTTCGGGAAAGGTTTTCATTCCCAGAATTCTGATCCTGTCAGCTCCCTCCCACCAGTAACACGGGTCCTGCCTGAGCAGAAAGTGAAGCTGAGACCAGAGAGAGCCTTTTCCTGGTTCCAATGAACCACTTGACATGATGAATCAGAGTCCTCAGTACCTTCTGGAGAAACCAGGTGTGAGGAGCTATAAAGAGAAACCTATTTGTTATTTCTTTACAGCCTTTTGGAGGACAATTGAAAGTCTCTCTCAAGTCTCTCTTACACACACACACACACACACACACACACACACACACAGCTCCATGCAATTGCTCCGATTTGTGAGTTACTATTTAACTGTGTCAGTCTAAAAGAGTTTATGGCTGGGATCAGGGAAAAATGAAGTCATCTGTAAAAAATTCTCCCCTTCCCCATCCCTGAGCCTGAGAGTTAAGAGAAGGTGGTTGCTTGTGCCCTACCAGGACAGGCCAAATGGGACTCTACTTTACATAAGAATCCTTGTTCCCCCGGGAGAAACCTGGCAGGGGACTTTGGGATGGATATCATTGCTTTGGGACACTGACATGCAAACAAAGAGAAAGGACAAAGCTGTCCTCAGTCTGGCAAGGTGCCCCGGCAACAGGTCCTTGGCCCTGAGGTGGAAGGCGGCAAGGCCACCCGGAACCACCGGAGGCATCCGGTGGGTGAGCTTTAAAAGCCGTGGTGTGGGTGAGGGCCCGGAGACGTCCTCCTACCCAAGGCCCTTGTCATGGAGACTGTCAGAGAAGGGAGGGTGCAGCCAGCCCGGCTGACAAGGAACTCCCCAGGGGAACCAGACCGGTGTGGAGGGAGCCTGCGGGGGCAGGAGGGGGAGGTTCGAAGTTGGAGTCCCAGTCAGTGGCAGATGGAGGTCAAAGGCCATTGTCATGAGCCATCGCAAAGATGGATCTGTACCTTAAACCGCTCTTCTCAGTCAAAAGCAGGGGGAGCAAAGACTGCATTTGAACAGAATGGTGACTTTTTCCCCTGAAAGACAGAGCAGATCATGACCGTGACCCTGTTTGTGTTTATGGCTCCTTTTTTCATTATTTCCCTCCACCGTGCCCCAATTTATAAAGTGAAAAGAAAATTGCAGTAGGAAGGAATGGGGAACAGGACTGAGGGGACAAGTGTCAGGAAAAAGCTGCTCCAAAACAACAGGATGCTTTGCACATGTGAAGACACGCGTGAGCTCTGCTTTTTGGACAGCAGAGTGTGTCTGTCATTTCATCAGGGCTGTTCTTTCTGGGCAGCGAGCTTCTCCGGAGGAGGATCCTCAGAACAAGAAAAAAGGGTAAGAGAAACACAACATCTTCATCAATGTTGTTATCGTTTCCTTTCTCAGGTGTCTTCAAACCAGCCCGGCCCCAGTCCTCGCGCCAGCTCACCACGTGGCCTCTTGTCTATCGGGTGAACCACAGAGAACACATGCACAAGGGCAGGCGGCTGAGCTGCTGTGTAGGCTGTCATGTGGCTGCAGCTGGGGGACTCCTCGAGTGTCACTTCCCATTTAAGGAGGCCACCGGCTTTACTTCTAACTTGCCTTGGATCTTGGAGAGGGTAACATTTAACCAATGGGGTTTGGAAACCATACCTGAGTTGACACCTACACCTCCTCCCATCTGCAGCCCACACAGCCCACTCCAGTCCCAGCCCAGGCTGAAATGTCAGGTCCCAGGTCTGGTCCATTCCCGCCCGTGATTATCCTCCAAGGGAGACTCTAGAAGCTATGGGGCAGTGGGGACCCCCAAACGTCCAACCCAAGGTCCTCGTTATGAGAAAATTAGAAAAAGCCCCAGCTCCGCCAGTCTTTATCCTCTGCTGTTGTCCACTCTGTCCATGTACCCGTGGCCTGTCCTTGCCCTCCGGGGGTCTCTCATACATGCTGAGACCACGTGTGAAGTGCCAGGTGCTCCTTGCAGGGAGTGGCCCAGGGCTCCAACGCTGCCAGTGCCTCCCCGTGCCCTCCTGGCCTGAGAAGATGAGGCTCCGGGCCAGGTAGGCTGCACAAGGACCAGACAGGGCTGAGCGCAACAATCCCTGAACTACACTGAAGTCCTTGTGTTTTCTTTAGAGTATTTTGAGTCCTTATTTTCCTGAACATCAGCTTTCGCTGTGGGTTAATAGCTGTTCAGGGTATATGTTTATTGAGAGGAGAAACTCATTTCTAATTGCTAATATGCAAGCATAAATGCCCAGCACAGCTCATGATTTTCCACATTAACCCTGGTGCTCAGCTGAGGCTCTGGGGGAAAGAACCCATCTCGGGAGGAGGGAGAACCCCACATTGGCCCTGGAGCAACAGAGAAGCTCAGAAAGTGATAAGATGTCACCTGGGTCCAGTCCTGGGGGTTTGTACCTGGATGCCAGGGCGAGGGCATGAAACAAAAGAGCAAGTAAAAGCAAAATGAGCTCTTCCCTGAAATGCTGCTGGGACCCACACTGGCACAGGCCTTGTGGCAGCAGACAGTCTCCTTGTCTCTCCCTTAGCTTCCGGTCACAATCCTTGGCGTGCCCTGGCTTCAAGGCACACCTTTCCAACCTCTGCCTGGGTCTTCACGTGGTGTTCTCCCTGGAGCCTGCCTGTGTCTCTTCTCCTCCTAGAAGGACACAGGTCATATTGGCTTAAGGGCTCCCCTACTCCAGCACAGCCTCACCCTAACTGCATCTTAGTTGCATTTGTGGAGACCTGACTTCCAAATAAGGTCACATTCACAGGGACTAGGGATTAGCACGTCAACACATCTTGGGGAGGACACAATTCAACCCGCAACAACCATTATCACGAGCAATGGTGACAGCATCCACCTGACCTTCAGTCCTGCAACTTGTCACCAGTGCCCTCAGCACGGACACTACTGTCCCTGGACTCGGGCATGGGTGTGTTTAAACTGGACAAGGGCTGCTCCAGCAGAGGTGGGCCCTTGGCAGAGTTCAGGGCCATGGATGGCATTTCTAGGGTTGCCGTGAGTGGAGGACAATACTACTGCCAGCCAGAGTCAGCAAGACAAAAAACGGAGTTGACCAAGAAGAGTAGATCTTGGTGTACCTATGTGAGCCTCTGGGGTTTCTCAGGATTATCCAAGAGGAACCCAAGAGAGGTATCAGAGTTCCCAAGAGGTGGAAAGGTGGAACAAGAGAAACACTGTTTGTGGCCCTCGCTGTCCTTTTCCCTGCACAGAAGCCAGAGTGGCTAGAGACAGATGTCCCACCGCAACCACTGGTCTGCTCCTCCCAGCGATTCCCCTTTCACCAGCTCTGCCATTTAGCTAGAACCATGCTTAGAAAACATTCCATCTCACAGCACAAAGAGCACAGGATCTCTTTAGCTGTCAGCACCAAGGTAAATGCAGTGAAGCCAAAAACGGCAGAATGAGGTCAGATGGCAGAGTGTGCGTGGACAGGATGCCAGGGCCTTGTGCGCGGATAGATGCAGCGTTAGAAAGCGGCCAAACTAGCCGCAGGAATCATCCCAGTGGGATGCAGGGGAGAACCAGAGTCCAAGACGCAGCCCACAGTTGTCAGCCAGGGGGCGAGGCTCGTGGATTGGAGACCGTGAGGCTGTAGGGGCTGCAGAAACGGTCTGCACCACAGGGCAACATCCAGCCAACGCCCAAGCACCTGCCCCTTCGGTGCACTTTTGCTCATCTTAAAGAAACTCTACTTCTGCATCTGCCTCTTGACGTGGAGACAGCATTGATTGCACCGGTCCAGCCCGCTCAGCAGTACGCAGGAGCTGCCTGTGCCACTGAGGCAGGCCTTCTGCTCGGGGTCCTCGTTCCCCATCTCCAGCCACATGAGCAAGCTGCTTTCAGCCTTGGCATCCCCTCATCACAACTCTGAGTTGCTTCTGGATCACAGGTCCCCTTTCCCAGCTACCTCCACTCCCACCAAAGAGGCCACCATGCGTGTCCCCCTGCCACTTGTCATAAGATCCCCTCCACTGCCCTTGCCAGGATGGTGCTGGGGACATGCATAGGGTTCCAGACAGGAGCAGGGTGCTCTCTCTCTCAGGCGCCCAAGCTCATGGGGAAGGGGTGTCTCACCCCCACCCCCACTCCAGAGCCCCTTCCTCAAGACCCTCGGCAGGTTCTCACAGATAGGTAGCGAGGGACAATAGAAGCCTAGGATTCATGACAAGCCAGTCCCCATGGCTCAGGATAGCTGCCTGGGGCAGGCAGAGTCTCATTTTTATGTGCCCTACATCACATCACAGCTGCATGTCCCTGAAAGTGCACTCTGCCCTGGGTTTCAAACCCAGGAGCAACATGACT